CCAGACCCATCTAGACAAGATGAAAACTATTCAGTGGGGGCTCTTTCTACCCCACCCCCACCCCCTCTTAAACTAAACTCCCTCTTGAAACCTTGTAAGCCAGTCATTTCGTGCTTTTATCACCCCCTCATTTTAGGTAGCTAGTGTCTAAGTTGCCCATCCCTATCTATCCTGTATACTCCTTCCCTGTCTGTTGGTATTTAGAGTTACTACCTCCTTTAGTATAGATCAGGTTCATCAAATTGTAGCAATTTACCCTTGTTTCCTTTATCAAAAATTTTGTTTGTTTGTTTGTAATCTTCCTCTATCTAGTCAACTTCTGATTATCAAGCCATTGAGACTAGGTCAAATGGGTACTGTCCCCAAGTTTGGGTGTTCTTGTGCATCTTCCCTCACTTCATATCAGCTGGATGCTTCACTCTCAGCTCTAGCCCTCTGTGGCTATGTCCTTGGCCATGGGCTCAAGTGTCCCCAGGTCTCACCACACTTTGGGCCAGCCAGCCTTTCCTCTTCTCCCTCTCATCTCCAGGTCAACAGGAGTCAATGTACTGTGGTTGAACTCAGCCCATTTCTTCATTGCTGCCTTTCCCCCTCTTCCACTCACCAGTAGACCAATGTGGTAGCCAGCAAGTTTACATGATTGTTCATGTGTTCCCTTTAAGTTTCTTAGAGGGGAGTTTGTCCTGAAGGAACTTGATTGCTTGCCTTGATGGCTTCCCGGCGAACAGCTTGCTTATTCTTGTAGTAGCCAGTCAGCTGACATTTTTGTTTTGGGTTTTTCCTGATTACCTTTCTTTGAAGATGTGTCTTCTGTTGTAGCTATTCCTGGCTGGTCTGCTTGTCCTTGCTAGTGGGAATGTCCCACCACAGAAGGTTCTGGATGGGACTTAGGATTCCACCTAAGGTCCTATATTCTGCAAAGGCTCCGCAAGAGGCCTATTTCAGTGGGCAAGTTCTTGAACCCCTTTTAGGTATTCCAGTCAGTTGTAGGCTGAAGACGGGCTTATAAGTTTTCTGTAATCATGTTTCCCAATAAGCAAGGTTGTATCATCAGCATATTTTATGTTGTTAATGAGTTGTCCTCCAAAGTTGATGCCACGTTCCTCTTCATATAATCCAATTTCTTGGATTATTTGCTCAGCATATAAATTGCATAAGTGTGGTAAAAGAATTCAACCCTGACACACACTGTTCCTGATTTTGAGCCACTCAGTATCCCATGTTCTGTTCAAATGACTGCCTCTTGGTTTACATACAGGTTTCTCATGAGCACAATTAAGTGTTCTGGATTACCTGTTCTTCACAATGTTATCCATAGCTTGTCATGGTCCATGTTGTCAAAAGCCTATGAATAGTCATTAAATCACTAGTAAACATCTTTCTGATAATCTCTGCTTTCAACCAAGATTCATCTGACATCAGCAGTGATATTCCTCTTTACCCGTCCTCTTGAGTCTGGCTTGGATTTATGGCCGTTCTCTGTCAATGTACTGATGCAACCAGTTTTGATTTATCTTCAGTAAAATTTTACTTGCCTACCTAAGACAGAGCCATTGCCATGCTGCAATGAGTTTCGATGACGGGTAAGACTGAGGAATTCGCACTGACCGCCTAAGACAGGCAGCATCCCTTAAACAAACAATAAATAAGGGGGAATCTGATGCAGACCGTGCAGACCCGGTCAGGAGGTCAAGACCCTGTGGGCCCAAGCGTTGTTGACCGTCCAAACCAT